ACTACCAATATCTGTTGATAATTTGGGAGAGTTATTCTGAGAGCCAGACCTTCAAAGCAACATTTTTTAAACAAGGAGTGAGCTGGTGAACATGCAATAGTATTACGAACATAGATGGCAATTCCACCTCCTTTAGATCCTCGGTCAAGCCGAAAAAGGTTGTAGTTGTCAATCGTAATCTGCAAGTCATTGACGGCAGGAGTGAGAAATGTTTCTGTTAGGCAAAAAATGTCTGGGTCAAGATTTGCCACTTCTAGTTTTAGTTGACTTAATTTAATCACAAGCCCTCTGATGTTGACATGTAGAACATCAACACCTTTCCTGCCAGAAAAATCTACCGAATTATACGAGTTCTTTACATTTGGGCCAGGATGAAGCTCAATACCACCCAGAAATAAGAAAAGTAGAATTAAGAGTTTGCACAAGTATTTTCTGTGAAATGATAAACAGCGGCGAACCTTGAACGAATAGCAGTAGCTCGCAGATGGTGTTATTTTTAACAGCAGAATGAAGTTTGAAAGGAGTGCTTGTGAAGTAATGGGACAAAGATAGGTTTTAAAAGGATACAATGATGGAGTGTAGAAGTGTCTATAAGCTGTTTCATTTGCAGGTGGAGTGGCAAATTGAGCAACAAGTATGGATGCAAAGTAACGAGGGTAGCCGTTTGTAGAGTTGAGTGTGGCACTAAATATGGCCGGGAGGGACAGCAGTAGGATACACAGCAGGAGAATTGCCATCTCTAAAATATTCCGGTACACACAGATTAACACACAAGCGGATAAGAAAATATATATACTTGTAGGCCGAGCACGAGAAAACATCTTTCCGCACTCGTCACACATGCACGACTTCTCGCCATGTGCTAGGGTTGAACAGCACCCCTCCACCTGACAGGGACAGCAGATTTTTGGCTGTTGTGGGCTCGGCTGAACCGCTTGCACCGCCTCCTTTCCCTGCCGCAGGATGGTGCTCGAGCTAGCCCTCCTTGAGCTCAGCCCACAACTGGAATGTCGTTTCTTGGCCTCTCGTGTCTCTGCTGCCCGAACAGACGGCCCCACTGAAGCCCAAACAGGGGACTCTTCAATCACGACCCTAGGCCGTCTTGACGATCTCCGTGAAGTTTTCCAGGATGGAGCGCCTTGACAGGAACACAGCTTGGGGTCTGTCTCAATGTTGCCTTGGCAGTAACACAGCTTGGGGTCCGTCGCAATGTTGCCTTGGCAGTAACACAGCTTGGGGTCCGTCGCAATGTTGCCTTGGCAGGAACACAGCTTGGAGTCCGTGGCAATATTGCCTTGGCAGGAACACAGGTTGGGGTCCACGGCAATGTTGCCTTGGCAGGAACACAGCGTGGGGTCCGTGGCAATGTTGCCTTGGCAGGAACACAGCTTGTGGTCCGTCACACTATTAACTAGGCCTCACTCAGGCTGCGCCAGGTGCACTGTTAACTAGGCCTCACTCAGGCTGCGCCAGGTGCACTGTTAACTAGGCCTCACTCAGACTGTGCCTTGTGCATGATTAACTAGGCCTCTCTCAGGGTGTGCCAGGTGCACGGTTAGCTAGGCCTCACTCAGGCAGTGTCATGTGCACAACTAGGCCTCACTCAGGCTGCGCCAGGTGCATGATTAACTAGGCCTCACTCAAGCTGCGCCACGTACACGATTTACTAGGCCTCACTCACGCTGCTCCAGGTGCACGATTAGCTAAGCCTCCCTCAGGCTGTGTCATGTGCAGTATTACCTAGGCCTCGCTCAGGCTGCTCCAGTTGCACGATTAGCAAGGCATCACTCAGGCTGCGCCAGGTACACACACGAGTGTACATCACTACACTATCACACACATACGAGTGTACATCATTACACTATCATACACACACAGAGTGTACATCACTACACTATCACACACACAGAGTGTACATCACTACACTATCACACACACAGAGTGTACATCACTACACTATCATACACACGAGTGTACATCACTGTTTAAACGCAGAAGTCCCTCTCGTCACGGCCATGAAGCTGCGGAACTACATTTGCTTGGGGTGGCCTCCAAAATAAAATCCAGAATAGGCGACGTTTCGGGCAATGGCCCTAACACAAGTATTATAATCACGTCTCACTCTCACACGGCTCACCCTCACACGGCTCACTCACACACATGGCTCACTCACACACACTCACACACAGCTCATTCTCACTCACATTTTCATGCATTCTCACGCACAGTTTACACTCACGCAAAACAACTCACACGCTGCTACACACGCGCGCCCGACAGAGCTGACGACGTCATCCCAGCCAATAAAGGTGGTGCCCATCAAGGTGGTGCACTGATGTCTGCTGATGAGTGTGGATAATGTGCTAACTAGTCGATCGCAAGCACACCGCTGGTGTTATCCTTCCCCGCTCCTCCGATTAGCGCGATTGGCTACATACGGTGCAAAAGTTCAATATAGTACAGTCTCGGAAAACGTTAATCTCATTTCAATTTGAAGTTTCAAGTTAACTTTGTTTAACCAGCTCAGAACTCAATAGATGAAGATCGTCTGATTTTTAAGAGTGACTTGGGTAGTGCATCACTTCAGAGACACTAGTAGTAGGAGGCACTCCGCCTTCACAGGCACAGGGAATAGCTACACTTCGGTCAGGACAGCAACAGGCTGCCTGACCAACAACGCTGAAGAGGTGAAGATGATGACGAAGACGGTGACGAAGATTCTAGTAGTCTCACAGGTTCCGCTCCAAACAACAGCTGCGAGTCTTGGTCGGGGTCTCCCTTTCATCCACTCAGCGTGGCCTCGCTCCGCCCTCGGCCACGCCACCCTTCTAGAACCTACTAGAAGGTTCCCTGGCTTCACCTCATGTGCCTCCTCCGTCACCTTTGCCCCACATCCCTCTCTCCGGCCCATCACATGACCTGCTGGCAGGCAGGACTCCTACAACAGCAGATCCCCTTCTTTGCCAGCAACCAGCGCTACGCACTATCGTGACCCATTCCATGTCACTACATAGAGATGACCGCAGACCTTTGGGGGAAGGGGGGGGGGGGTTTGTGCGGGCTCGTCGCGTGGCTGCCGCCTATCCCGCTCATCTGAGCTTCCTCCGCAGTCTCTGGATCGTCCTCTCTCTACAAGAGGGAGTGAGCAAAAGGGGGCAGAGCAAAGATGACATTCCTTGCAACGCCCAGTCTTGTCTGGCAGACCAAACAGACAGTCTAGCACATCGCACCCATATTTGCATCGGTATTATGACTGTGGGGGGGGGGGGGGATGAGGTCACGTGTTTACACTGGGTTTTAACCCACTTCCCAATGTGGTATCGACTGTATACTTATGTCACACTGATGACAATATTATATTCTATCATAAAAAATAATATATATTTTTTAAACATTCTTTTTGATATGTTATGTTTCGGATTGGGTCTAATTGTCCACGCTCAACTGACGTTGGCTGGAGTTCTTCCATTACTAGTACATTTCATAAAAGCGTGTTTTTAAAAAAAGTTAAAAAATATTACTTATTTGTCATTAACCAGGATATAAATCTTCATCTTACTGCCAGAGCCAAATGAAGGTTCTTGTAGGTTCTTAAGGTTCTTGTAGGTTCTTGTAGGCCTTCCGTGATAACTGTCTCCATAGCGCTACTGCTGCTGCTGCCCATGTCACTACTGCCACCGTTCTCACTCGCGACAGCTGACAAAATGTTGTGGATTTTCTTTCCAACACACCGGTGTGCTGTACTAGTAACACGTTCTGTTTACGTGACAGACCTTACTAATTGGTTGTGTCGGGTGGTGTCGGGTTTAGCAAATTTATAGTTACGCGATCAAACCCCAAAAACCTATATTATGGATATTGGTCCAGAAAGTCTACGTGTTAAACTGACAACTGTCTCCGATCAACCATAGGAGAACAACGCATTGTCTTACCTTGTACTACTCTCTATTGAGAATGGTGTTGTGTGGGAAAACACCATTTGACGATATTATTGCTAGTTTTGCAATGAAAACATCTCCAAAGTTAACCTCCGGTGTTAATTTCTCTCTCACAATGAAGAAGAAAACATTGACATGACTCTGCCTCTCTATACACACTGTTGCCTATCCTTGCTATATAAATGTATTTATTCAAGAAGGTATGTTGGTTAAATTTTGTATCATATCAACGAAAAATTGCAAAAAATGGTAGGCCCTTCATTTTTTCGTAGGCCCTAGGCACAGTGCTTATTGTGGCCTATCGGATAATACGGCTCTGATTCCTGCAGCCTGGGACAGCACGGCAGGGTTCGGCTACACGAGAGACGCCGTGACTCAGGTTGTGCGTTCCTCGAGGTGACTTGGTAACAGGTCCCTGCAGGGTGGGCTGGTAGGAACATTGGAATTTTGCGCAATTTTATTTTTACACCCCAACAGCACGAGATTTCACTTCGTTAATTGAAAGGGGACGGACGGACACATTAATCTATTGCAGGCTGGTACACTCAGTTTACAACTTCGTTCCTACCAGTAAAAGTGGTGCTGTGAATCGTCACTCATCGCAACACAGTCTTGGATTCAGGCCAAGGCAATCATTCAGACAGGAGGCCCGGAGGCCCGTGCTGAGCTTACACCCCTCAGATTCTCGGTTCGAATCCAGGCAGCCGTCTGTGATCAAACCGGGTTCCCAGGTGTAATTGTCGATCTCAGCCCGACGACCAATAACTGCGCTCAATTGTCCTGCACTTCATTTGACTAAACGAGCACTGATAGTTAAAATATCGATTTGCTTTCCATGCAACAAACATCACAGCTCATCCATAATAACTCATGTGGCAGAGTGCGTGGGGAAGTGCTTCCCTCTACTGTGCGTGGGGGATCTCAACAGTAGCTCTGTGATATCCGCTTCCTTGTGCTGTTCTTTAACACGTTGGGTTTCAACTGCTCGATAAATTTCGGAATAAAAAAAACAAGCCGCGCAGAAAAATTAAGAAATTGGACACTGGAGCACGGGTAATTGAATTCATGTTTGTATTTTGCATCCAATCGCTTTAATTTACTTTTCACTTTTCAGCAATTGCACACAGGCTATGTTTCCATTGCAATTGATTATCTGATTAATGTATCAAGGTAAACAAAAGCACGTGGAAAGTGCAATAACATACTAGTGATAGGCTGTAAACATATATTTGGGATTAATTTCTGATGTAAAAAAATTGTTTGAGAATTGGATTTTCTTTCGCCTGACTTTGGCTTTTGCTTCGTATATTCAGATGAAAATGTATCATATTTTAATAACATATAGTTGTATGCACAAAATGTAACCATGTTGACAATTTTAAATATGAACAGTTGCATTTTAATTCAGTAAAGCAATAATTCGAATATAGGAATTCGAATGTCATATTGTTTTATGTTTTTAACAATTTAAGCAAACGTGACGTCAAGTATCATCAAAATTGCATCTCTATAGGCAGCAAAGTCTGTGACATATTTCAGAACAATCCGAAACATCTTTTCGGATCATCCAAAATGTAGAATGTGGGCAGAGAATGCAATGGAAACATTGTGATTAGCTGATGAGATGTGTGCGGGACAGGGGGATGTGGGTTGGCCAACAGGAGGTGAGGGGGAGGACAAAACGACCGCGATATCACCCCAGCGAACGCGTTCATTCATGAACACGAGTCAGAGACTAACGCGTGGCCAGTGTTAACCCACAACAATACGACGCATTAATTAATAACCCCAAATCTAACACACCATCGACTTAACTCCAGAGTATAACTCAGACACCTTAACACGCAGTCGTACACAGATGCCTAACCCAGAGTTTAAACACAGTAATAGAAGACCTTACAGCCAAATACACATACATTAAAAAAACGCAGACTAAATCGATCTGCTTAACCCAGTGTTTAACGCGAGTTATTTTAACCGATAGCCAGAAAACACGCAGCCATGTTAAGCCAGAATCTAATAATCATTTTAAACGAGTTGTCCAAGTTATTCATTTTAACATAGACGAACACAGCTATTAAAACCAAGAGTCGAAAGCAGTCACCTTAACAGTGTTATATAGTATTCTAAACCACAGCCTGATGTAATTCTTTATCCTTAAGAGTCTTATACAGTATAGTCATTTAACGCAGTCAAACACAATCAACTTGACGCAGAGCCTAGCTTGGTCACCTAACCCAGAGCGCCCTGACGCGGTCGTCTTGCTACCTGGGAAACGTTGTAAACAGAAAAGCTGCACCAAATTACATCAAACGATAGGCACTCAGCCACTCTGTGCGTTGATCCAGCGGGACGATTCAGGTCACCTTATGAACAGGATTCTCTAATATCGGTCTAATTTGCAACGTCCCACACCGTCTGATTTGCACCGTTTCATCTGTACGGTCACCGTCTTCTTTGCGTTTTTCTCAATGGGTCTTGTCTTGTGTTTGTTGTCTTGTTTGTACTCCCATCTCCCTTGTGTTGTCTAATCTGTACCATCTCCTTTGTGTTGTCTCATCTGTACCATCTCCCTTGTGTTGTCTCATCTGTACCATCTCCCTTGTGTTGTCTCATCTGTACCATCTCCCTTGTATTGTCTCATCTGTACCATCTCCTCTGTGTTGTCTGATCTGTACCATTTCCTTTGTGTTGTCTGATCTGTACCATCTCCTCTGTGTTGTCTCATCTGTACCATCTTCTCTGTGTTGTCTGATCTGTACCATCTCCTCTGTGTTGTCTGATCTGTACCATCTCCTTTGTGTTGTCTGATCTGTACCATCTCCTTTGTGTTGTCTGATCTGTACCATCTCCTTTGTGTTGTCTGATCTGTACGATCTCCCTTGTGTTGTCTAATCTGTACCATCTCCCTTGTGTTGTCTAATCTGTACCATCTCCTTTGTGTTGTCTGATCTGTACCATCTCCTCTGTGTTGTCTAATCTGTACCATCTCCCTTGTGTTGTCTAATCTGTACCATCTCCTTTGTGTTGTCTCATCTGTACCATCTCCTTTGTGTTGTCTCATCTGTACCATCTCCTTTGTATTGTCTGATCTGTACCGTCTCCTCTGTGTTGTCTGATCTGTACCATCTCCTTTGTGTTGTCTGATCTGTACCATCTCCTCTGTGTTGTCTGATCTGTACCATCTCCTCTGTGTTGTCTGATCTGTACCATCTCCTCTGTGTTGTCTGATCTGTACCATCTCCTCTGTGTTGTCTGATCTGCACCATCTCCCTTGTGTTGTCTAATCTGTACCATCTCCCTTGTGTTGTCTAATCTGTACCATCTCCTTTGTGTTGTCTGATCTGTACCATCTCCTCTGTGTTGTCTAATCTGTACCATCTCCCTTGTGTTGTCTAATCTGTACCATCTCCTTTGTGTTGTCTCATCTGTACCATCTCCTTTGTGTTGTCTCATCTGTACCATCTCCTTTGTGTTGTCTCATCTGTACCGTCTCCTCTGTGTTGTCTCATCTGTACCATCTCCTCTGTGTTGTCTGATCTGTACCATCTCCTTTGTGTTGTCTCATCTGTACCATCTCCTTTGTGTTGTCTGATCTGTACCATCTCCTGTGTTGTCTGATCTGTACCATCTCCTTGGTGTTGTCTAATCTGTACCATCTCCTTTGTGTTGTCTGATCTGTACCATCTCCTCCGTGTTGTCTGATCTGTACCATCTCCTTTGTGTTGTCTGATCTGTACCATCTCCCTTGTGTTGTCTGATCTGTACCATCTCCTTTGTGTTGTCTGATCTGTACCATCTCCTTTGTGTTGTCTGATCTGTACCATCTCCTCTGTGTTGTCTGATCTGTACCTTCTCCCTTGTGTGTTCTAATCTGTACCATCTCCTCTGTGTTGTCTGATCTGTACCATCTCCTCTGTGTTGTCTGATCTGTACCATCTCCTTTGTGTTGTCCCATCTGTACCGTCTCCTTTGTGTTGTCTGATCTGTACCATCTCCCTTGTGTTTTCTAATCTCTACCATCTCCTCTGTGTTGTCTGATCTGTACCATCTCCTCTGTGTTGTCTAATCTATACCATCTCCCTTGTGTTGTCTGATCTGTACCATCTCCTTTGTGTTGTCTGATCTGTACCATCTCCCTTGTGTTTTCTAATCTGTACCATCTCCTCTGTGTTGTCTGATCTGTACCATCTCCTCTGTGTTGTCTAATCTGTACCATCTCCCTTGTGTTGTCTGATCTGTACCGTCTCCTTTGTGTTGTCTGATCTGTACCATGTCGTCTGTGTTGTCTGATCTGTACCATCTCCTTTGTGTTGTCTAATGGAGTCACCGTAGAGAACCGTAGCGAGATGACCACACTCTACAATAGCTGATGCCAAACTGTGCCACATGCCCTCCCGCATGGCCTTTTGGGAGCCTCAGTCCCGATGAAGTTATTTTAGTTTATTTTCTGATGAGAGGTAAGAGGTGGCAGATGATAGGTGAGTGGTGATAGGTGAGCGGTACGAGGTGGCGGCTCTAGAGGTGCTCGTCGAGCCAGGCTATGTACATGTTCACGGTGCGCACGCCGATGTCGAAGTGCAGCAGGGGCTGCTGCACGAGCGAGAAGACGCCGTGGAAGCCGTCCTCCAGGTGTTGGTGCTGCACGGGGACCCCCAGCGGGCCCAGACGCGCCACCAGCAAGGCGCCGTCGTCACGCAGCACGTCGTGCTCGCACGTCACCACGTACGTGAGCGGCAGCATGCGCAGCCAATCGTCATCTACGATGGGGGAGGGGGGGGTAGTGGGGGAAGGACGGGCGGGTTGGGCAGTGGGGGGCGAGGGCAGTGAGGTTGGTTGGGGGGACACGCGGGTCGACCGCTCGAACCTGGCAATACGAACGCTCGATGTAATAGCAACCGGCCGGCTCGGTGCCGCATCGCACAGTGGAGTAGGGGGCGTGCGGGGAGTGCGAACTCAGCGGATCCCCGTTTGTAACCCACCAGGTGACCACCAGGACCCATTCGCGAGTAGGGGCACCACCACCACCGCAGCTTCCGCAGTGTGGCTGGGCCCCCGGATCCACACCCACACCTGGCTCGGCTCAATTGTTTGGACTTCTAGTCACTGTGGCGTAGAGCTCCTGGCATGGCAGTTCTACACCCGGCCGAGTGGCTCAGCGGTGGAGCCAGCGGCTCGTAATCAGAAGTCTGCGAGTTTACATCCCGGTTGGCCGGTTGACTCGTCGGCTCATCATCCGCTCGGGGATGATAAGATTAGTACCACTGTGTGGGGAAATCCATAGTGCTTGGCCTATGGATAGAATTACCCCCTATCATAGGAATGTATTTCCAGCACTGGCTCAAGACCTGTAAACAGGAATGTGTGAAACTAAAACAAAACAATTGTTTATTTAAGGCTCACTGAGCTGTCTAGCTCTTTTAAGAAGTGACCTGGCCACAAATAATAGGAAAACAAAGTGGATTATCACGTGGACATTTATAGCAACCGAATACTCTGAACTCGTGTTGATTCTAAATGTGGAGTGAAAAGCCATAGGACCCAGAGAGAAATCCACGAGATCACAGGGAGAAAATGCAAACTCAAAATATACATGCCTCAGGGTTGGGATTGAACCCACGACCTCCCGCATACCAGGCAAGGTAGATAACATCTCGCCACTGCGGCACCCCTTGTATGTTGAACTTATTTCGCACCGTACGTAGTCAACCGTGCTAATAGCAAGCGCTGCCTCAATGCTCATTGGAGGAGGAAATCAACTTGGCTCGACTTGTCTACAGCCAAGCCTGTTCCATCTGATTCCTTTTAACATACTTTTGTTGTCTCTTTTCAGATCTATGTCTGTGGCGGTGCGAAGTCACACGCTCCGCGATTTGGAGCTCGTAGCCACAGTCGCACGTGAAGGCCTTGTGTTTTCCACTCGTGCATCTGGTGTTCACCGCACCATCTGTTGTTCACCGCACACCTTCAGTGGTTTGTAGTGAAATCCAGTAAAGCGCCGCCCCCATTGTTTCCGTGGAAGATGGAAGCCGAGCAGTCTCTGTGTTTGACTCTTACATTGCAGCTCACTCCACCTCCAAGCAAGTGCAGGCTGATGTGCCAAGGCCCCACGCTGGCACGGGGCTGGCGCCTCGGTCCATGGTGCTGAAATGCTGTGGCTGGAAGTTGGCTCACTCTTATTTCACGAATATCGCAACTAGGCCAGGGCTTTCCCTAGGTTGGCTCAGCCTTAAGTGAGTACCTGGTGCGGTGTGTCAGCAATGGGGAGACAAAGGCGGCCGACCGTGGTGCTGGCCACCCGCCCACTTATGTGTCATGTCGGCCTTCATAGGTGCTACTCGCTAACAGCACTTACCCCAACAGTCTGTACAGGCAATATGTGGGACCTTTGTCACTGTGGTCATTATATCATGTGTGCTACGTGCATGGCAATCGTCACCCTGGACAGCCGCTTGCAACAAAGATGTTCCATCTCGAGGGATGTTCCAGGTGAATTTTTTTTTACTTAAAAAATAGAAATGTATCCTACTTAGATGAGACTGTCAGGGGTCCTTGATCGGACCCAAGGACCCCGCCCCACACACAAAGGAGGGCCCCACCACACGGGCCCCTGTTGTTGTTGTTGCTAATATATATTCAGGCATTCTGCCCTTGTGACATCCTGGCCTCCAGTGACCTCTGGACGCCCTTGTTATGTAGGGGTGTCTTGGACGTGCCTTTGTCGTGCCTCTGATTAACGTTTTTCGTGAGCGCAGTCCACGTTTTAATTTCGCGTGTGGACGCACTCACCAGCCAAGAGCGGCGTGGCCCTGGGATCCAGCAGCGCCGGGATCTTGGCCAGGATGTCTGGGCGCGCGGGGCCCTCAGGGGGCCCCGGCGCAGGCCCCGTGCCACGCGGCCGGCGGGACAGCAGCAGCGAGCGCCAATCCACGAAGGCACCGGGGCCGCTCGGGTCGAGCAGCACGTGGCGCGAGTGCGCGTTCTCCAGCAGAGCGTCCGTCAGCGCCACGTCCCCGCCTGCACCACGCATGCATGCACGCATGACGTTCATACCACGTACGCGGAGCGGCGGTGAGCTGGCCCCCGACACCTTCGCAATGAGACGGCGAGCGCCCCGGTGCACACTCACGGCACCCCAGGCCGTGAGTTTCCGTGCCCCAGCAACACTCCGCATCCTGCAGCGTTTTCCAAATCTCCAACCTGGACAGACCCCACTCACATGAAGCCCTGGTGGTGGTTGCTGCTCCCCCCTTCCCCCCTCCACCTCCCCGCCTCCTCCTGCAACTCCACCTTCCCCCCTGCCCTTCCTCCTCCCCCCTCCTCGTGCTCACCCAGGTACTCGAGCCACAAGCGCACCATGGTGCGTGCGTACAGGATGGGCACGTGAGCGTTGTCCCGGTACGACGGCGTCTGGAAGTCGAGCGCCTGCAGCGTCGGGTAGATGAGCGCCTGCAGCTTGAGGCTCGCCGAGCCCTCCTTCGGCTCCCGTGCCAGCTACGGTTCACGCAGTCACACACAGAGAGAGAGAGGGCTATAGAGGCATAAAATAAAAATGTCTTTTAGTCCGTTTAACACGTAGGCTTTCCCGACCAATATCGTTCATAATAGAGGTTATTTTGGGTTAGATCGCGTTAATATATAAATGTGTCGTTAAACCCGCCACCACCCAACACAGCCAACTAGTAAGGGTTGTCACGTAAACAGAACGTGCCAATTCGTCACTTGTAGAGCACACGGGTTTGTTGGAGAGCAAAGCCACAACATTTACAATCTGAGTACATGTCGCCAGTAATTATAACTAGCTTCATCAGGTGACAGCCAGATTTGTGGAAAAATCCTCCCGTTTCGTTCCTTTAGCTCATCAGGCAAAACCACGGAGCAACACTGCCCTCTGCTGTCAAAAAAAATAACTGTAAACTAAACAATGTTTTATATTCTTTGGGTCTTTCGGTAAAGTCACGTAGATAGGTTCAAAGAAAATAACAAAAAAGAACAAAAACTACGACGTTTCGATCGCAACACAAGCGTTCGTCATCAGGAAGAAAAAAGAGGGGAAAAGCTGCTGAGGCAGACTGTTTTAAAGGTTTAAAATTGGTGTAGCCCAAAGGTCATACACGAAGTGGGCGGGGCTAATGACCTGCACGACGAGGGCACGGAAGTGGCTATGTTAATGTGAGTGATTATCATGTTAATGTGAGAGATGAGCATGTTAATGTGAGTGATTATCATGTTAATGTGAGAGATGAGCATGTTAATGTGAGAGATGAGCATGTTAATGTGAGAGGTGAGCATGTTAATGTGTGAGATTAGCATGTTAATGTGAGAGATGAGCATGTTAATGTGAGAGATGAGCATGTTAATGTGAGAGATGAGCATGTTAATGTGTAAGATTAGCATGTTAATGTGAGAGATGAGCATGTTAATGTGAGAAATGAGTATGTTAATGTGAGAGATGTTCATGTTAATGTGAGAGATGAGCATGTTAATGTGAGAGATGAGCATGTTAATGTGAGAGATGAGCATGTTAATGTGAGAGATGAGCATGTTAATGTGAGAGATGAGCATGTTAATGTGAGAGATGAGCATGTTAATGTGAGAGATGAGCATGTTAATGTGAGAGATGAGCATGTTAATGTGAGAGATGAGCATGTTAATGTGAGAAATGAGTATGTTAATGTGAGAGATGAGCATGTTAATGTGAGAGATGAGCAAGTTAATGTGAGAGATGAGCATGTTAATGTGACAGATGAGCATGTTAATGTGAGAGATGAGCATGTTAATGTGAGAGATAAGCATGTTAATGTGAGAGATGAGCATGTTAATGTGAGAGATGAGCATGTTCATGTGAGAGATGAGCATGTTAATGTGAGAAATGAGCATGTTAATGTGAGAGATGAGCATGTTAATGTGAGAGATGAGCATGTTAATGTGAGAGATGAGCATGTTAATGTGACAGATGAGCATGTTAATGTGAGAGATGAGCATGTTAATGTGAGATCGCAGAGCAGCAATGTCGAGCTAGGCAAGCGAGGTGGCTGTGTTAGTGTCGGAAATTTAACCTGTTAATGTAAAATCAGAGAGCCGAAAATAACAACTAACACCGGAAGGTGGTAGGATGGGAACATCACAGCCAGTTATGACTTAAACTGGTTAATAACGTCCTTCCAATGATTACTCAGTTTATACCTATCTTCTCGATTGAAGTTGTGTCTGTATATGTGGATGGGTTCATGAACGAATCTTTGTTGATAGCCAGTGGGTTTGCAAAGTACCTTCGTCTTAGAGAAATCAATTTCGTGTGTTTCCCACAGCATTAAAACAATGATCAGCCACGGCCGAGATTTTGGTCCTACCGTGTTTCAGATCTGCCTTATGTTCACGAACACGGTCCGAGACATGTCGCTTAGTTTCCCCAATGTAACTACTGCCGCTGACACAGCTTAGTTTGTACGCCGGGGTATTGTATGTCAGGGATCACATCCTTCACAGATGAGATCAGATCACGAATTTTATGTACTGTGTTAAATCGAACCTGGATCTTGTGTTTGCTCATGATTTTGGAGATCTTTTTGGTGACCTCTGCTATGTATGGCAAGGTGATGGTTTTTATTTGGTCCTCAGATGGTTCTTTCCCAACGGTTGGGGTGATAGCTTTACGGATTGTGTAGTCTGAATATCCATTCATCTTGAGAGCTTGGTGTACGTGTTCCAGTTCACTGGCTAGGTGCTGATGGTCGGAGATACATCGAGCTCGATGGTGTAGAGTTTAGATGAGGGAATTCTTCAAGGAAGAATGGTGGTGGGAGACAGGTTTTAGATAGGCATCGGTGTGGGTGGCTTTCCTGTAGACAGTGTCCCATTGAGCCATCTGGTCTCCTTTCGATTAAAACATGCAAGAATGGTAGCTTGCCATCCTTTTCCAACTCCATAGTGAATTTCATGGCTGTGTGTATGGAATTGATGTGGTTGAGGAATTGGTTCAGAGTTGGTCGGCCATGTGGCCAGATGACGAACGTGTCATTTCCGTACCTCTTCCACAAGGATGGACGTCGAGTGGATGCCTGGATAGCATGTCTAAAATTTTTCCATGAAAACATTAGCTACCTTCAACTTGTTTGTAGAAAGTTCCATTCCAGGTGCAGTGTTGGTGAGGCATTGTCTCACCAGGGCCAGTACCTCAGCATTCAGTCCTTGTTGGAACAAGTCTTCAATGATTGCAATGGTGTCAGGCACAGGAACTTTGGTAAACAAAGAGACTACATCGAAACTAACGAGCAAATCACCTGGAGATAGTGAGATGTCGTTAATTAACGATACCAAGTGAGCTGAGTTAAGTACAGCTGAGGTGGTCTTACCAGTAAATGGCTGCAAGGTCTCAGACAGAAACTGGGCCAGTTTGTAGGTGGGTGAGTCGATGGGACGAAGGGGTGTACCCTCTTTATGGATTTTTGGTAAATCATACAATCTGGGTGGTCTAGCAGCAGACGGTTTTAGGGAAGACCGCTTGGTTGGTTCGATTAAAGATGTCGAATCGGTGATGATATTGTTGGTTTTCTTAACGAGGCTGTTGGTGGGATCTCTTTACATTTTTGTATAGCTACCATCATTAAGTAGGTCCTGAATTTTGTTATTGACAGCCGTCTGTGAAACGCGGGGCAGAGACTTTGCGAGAGCCCCGCACCACGAGAGAGAGGGAGAGACGGAGAGCAGCGCGAGGGCCGGCAGGCGCCCAACATCCTGTCCTCCGGTTTTGCCCCCGGCGGCGCCGCCAACCTGCAGAGCCACGGCCATCGCGAGGTTCCCGCCGGCGCTGTCCCCCGAGATGGCGACGCGCGCAGGGTCCACGGAGAAGGCCGCCAGCGTGTCGTGCCGCAGGAAGTGCCGCGTGACGCGCAGGCAGTCCTCCAGCGGCACGGGGAAGCGGTGCTCCGGCACCAGGCGGTATCTGCGTGTGGAGGGCGCGGGCGGGCAAAATTCCGAAGCCAGACGTTTTGGCGTTTACAGCAACCACCCCACCCCGCCACACCTGACCCCACCTGACCTCACCCCACCGGAGCCCACTAGACCCCACCCAACCCAACCCCACCACACACGACCCCACCTGACCCCACCCCACCCGGGAACCTGAACCCACGGCACCTGATCCCATCTGAACCCACCTGACCCGACCCCTCCCCTGCCTCTAAACCAAATGAAAATTATCGTCACCAGCCGCTGCTGCTTGGGTTGTTTCCAATGTGGCTACACATTCGGATGGCGATACGCCCCGCGGATGGCGATACGCCCCGCAGTTGAAGACAACCACCCGCAGCACAAACATCAACATCGCGCGCCACTATAACAAAAAACACCACCACCACCGCTAATATCACAAATGCCAGGTCGGCGTTTCTGCGACAAGAATGTCGCCATTGTGTTGGGGTGATTTAATACGTTGCCAGTCACAGTGGCGACTGCCGCCAAGTGAGGACGCGATGGTGACTCTGCCTCTGCAGAGAGGACTGAACCTTTGGCCAAGTCTGGGGACATTCACCGAGGTTAAAGGGGCAGCCCCTGCAATTCCCTTCTCACGCCGTTGCTAACGAAAGGCCCTCCGTCAACTAGAGCACCCCTCTAGAGGGTGTTTAGCAGTGGAAATTGGCGTACCAATTTTGGCGTACCAATTTCCACTGCTGGGTGGACAGAGGCGGGGGTGGGGGGGGTTGGAGAGGAATTTTAGGAAACTTGCCCCTTTGTAATAATCGGGTTTTTCCACTTTTTTCTGGCAATAAAACTGAAACCTGTTTACAAGGATTCATGTCTGCATTAACCACAATACCTGCAGTCAAAGTGCAAACATTATCATAGTATTCATAATAAAGGTTTTTGGGTTAGATCGCGTTTATTTATAAATGTGTCGTAACCCTCCACCACCCGACACGGCCAATCAGCAAAGAAAAGTGTCACGTTGACAAAAGACAAATAATTCACTACTTCAGCCCACCGGTGTGTTGAAGAGTTAATCCACATTTACAGTTTGAGTACGACGTTTCGCTGGTAAATACTTCCAGCATCATCGGGCAATTCGCCAGAATGGTAAAGCCCTCGCTTGCTCCCGGTTTTATATAGAGCAGAAGAGTGACGTCATCACTTAACTCATCAGGTGCAGTGATTAGAGGCGGAGGGGGGGGTAATGTAATTATATAATCGATTAGTAATCAGTCATTGGTTATGATTAGTAATGAGTTGTAGATTAGTAATTCTTTAAATCAAAATGTAATGTGTATTATTTAATAATACGCTTCCAGGCCGCACTGAGCCGGTAGCTGTCAGAGCGATTAAAGTTATTCTTGTTCCTCTCAATTTCAATGGATTCTCTAATTAGTCTTTGCCAGTAATAATTAGTTTTACACACCACTGCAACATTGTCAAAATCAATTGAGTGTCCTTGTTGACAAGCATGTTCTGCCACTGCCGACAGTTGTGTTTGAGATAATTTAATATTTCTCTGATGTTCTTTTAGTCTTACGCTGATGTTACGTCCCGTCTGCCCAATGTAGCAGCTGCCACATGAACAATTAATCCGATATACACCTTCTGTTGATAGTTTAGTTTAGACTAATTAGAGAATCCATTGAAATTGAGAGGAACAAGAATAACTTTAATCGCTCTGACAGCTACCGGCTCAGTGCGGCCTGGAAGCGTATTATTAAATAATACACATTACATTTTGATTTAAAGAATTACTAATCTACAACTCATTACTAATCATAACCAATGACTGATTACTAATCGATTATATAATTACATTACCCCCCCCTCCGCCTCTAATCACTGCACCTGATGAGTTAAGTGATGACGTTACTCTTCTGCTCTATATAAAACCGGGAGCAAGCGAGGGCTTTACCATTCTGGCGAATTGCCCGATGATGCTGGAAGTATTTACCAGCGAAACGTCGTACTCAAACTGTAAATGTGGATTAACTCTTCAACACACCGGTGGGCTGAAGTAGTGAATTATTTGTCTTTTGTCAACGTGACACTTTTCTTTGCTGATTGGCCGTGTCGGGTGGTGGAGGGTTACGACACATTTATAAATAAACGCGATCTAACCCAAAAACCTTTATTATGAATAATATTGGTCGCGAAAGCCTACGTGTTAAATTATCATAGTATGTTTTTTGTTTGCATTTTGACTGCAGGTATTGTGGTTAATGCAGACATGAATCCTCGTAAAAAGGTTTCAGTTTTGTTTCCAGAAAAAAGGGGAAAAACCCTATTATTATATTTTGGTACTAGCAAAGGATGTCTAATTATGTTGCCCTTTTGTTTCAACTGCTGCACCGGGAGAATTAATGGAACCGGTGAGCTAACCATTTCACCACAGCATCACCCATCTCGTGAACCCACTCCACCTGCATGAGCCACCCCCCTCCCCCTCCCTCCGTCTTCCAGGGCATCATCCAGTCTCTCCATTACCGCGTCTGCTTTTTCGTATATTGGTGTCATCGTTTTTTAAAGATTGCCACCTTCCCTGCGTATCCCAGGGGGCTGCCAAGGGCCGGCTCCTGTCCGCGAGGTGTTGAGCAGCGTGGAGGACCGGCCGGGCGAGGTGGTGGCCGGGCGATGTGGCGGCCGAGCGAGGTGGCGGCCGGGCAAGGTGGGGGCTGGGGGAGGTGGTGGCCGAGGGAGGTGGGGGCTGGGCGAGGTGTGGCCCGGGCGAGGTGGGGGCTGGGCGAGGTGTGGCCCGAGCGAGGTGGGGGCTGGGCATGGGACCAGAAGACATGGGAGTTGGCTGAGGTGGCGCCGGGCGAGGTGACCGAGCGGCATGTGAGAGGGCTTAAGGGGGTACGTCACAGTGCGGGGCCACGGCGCGCTAAAGCCACCACCACCGAAGCTGCTCGCAGAGCACGCTCAGGGGTCGTGCCGGAGAGGATTAGGATTCAGAGTCGGTGGAATGCGCCAATGTCACCGTAACACTGAGAGGACAATTGGGCACACGGGAGATGTTGTGGGAGACCCGGGAGGAAGTGAGGCCCAGCGCCTTGGGACCCTTTTGGGGGACCTGGGACCCTTCTGATTTTTGTTTCGTACAATTGCTGTACACCGGCCCGAAGGTCCAACACATCAATTGGCCAGCAACAAGCGGTGACGTCAGTGTTGTGATCGACGAGAGTAACAATTTAGTGCTGGAATTGAGGGAGGTTATTCTTGAAAGAGCTTGCGGGAAAACAGAGGCTGGGAGGGGCTTTCTAAAGTGGAGTGGTGCACAGGCAAAAGCAGAAAGATAAATGTTGGGACCTGCAGTGTGCTGAGTCAATGGATGAGTGGGTGCGTGGGTGAGTGGATGAGTGGGTGGGTGAGTTGGTGGATGGGTAAGTCAGTGGACGAGTGAGTAGCTGCCAAATGCAAATAATCCAAGATTAGGCTGGTGTATTTTTGGACGTCTTTCTTCATCATAATTAACGACAATAACTGCAGCTCGAAGCGCACCACCGCCGCACAGACATTCGCTCACTGGTGATGAGAGAGAAGCGCGAGGAGAAGCCGCGGCCAGGCGGTGAGCCGATGTAAAATCCACACTCCCCCAAGCTTTGTGGTCTTCTACATATGAAGGTGCGACATGTGGAACGATGGCAGAGCACACCAAACAGGTGGATCCCACCCATGCTGGGCGTTCCGAGGGATTTATCTTCGCTCTGCCAAATAAAAATGAAGTTGAGGCTGGTTGTGGTTTCTTAACCATGGTTAAGAAACATAAACGTGCTGTCGTGGGTGTAACGGCTTTACAGCCATGGGCAACATCCCCGGGAGGAAGGGGAGACGTGCACCAGTGGACGAGGGGGAGGCGGCGTGTGGGGTAGGTGGAGGAACTCACTCCACGGAGATGACGACCGCGTCGAGTCGGCGTGCCGCTTCGCGGCACTGGTGGTCATTGCCAACGTCCTCTGCAAAACAAAAAGGTCCCCCGTGTAGCCTTAACAGACTGTTGGGGCAAGTGCTGTTAGCGAGTTGCGCCTATGAAGGCCGGCACGGCACACGAGGGGGTGGCCGGCCAACACCATGCCTGGCCACTTTTGTCTTCCCAGTAGCGATATTTGCACACTGCACCGGGTACTTAATTGCGGCTGAGTCGACCTGGGGGAGGCCCAGGACCGATTCAGATAATCGTCACTGATGTTGTTAGCCATGAGTGGAAATTGAACATGGGCCGTCGGGTTCATAGCACAGCACGCTAACCGCTGCACCACCGCTCCCTGTCCTCCTCGTTCCACAAACACAGGCGCGAGAGTCAGCGGTGACCTCTGTGAAGGAAGTGGGAGCCCGCCTCCTCCATCATCATCCTCCTCCTCCACTCCCCTGCAGTGAGAGACTCTGAAAGATGCGGGTTCACTCATTCATTAATTTTGTGCCCATCGTATCGATTTAGTCAGATCAATGATCATCATGGGGCACCGCAGTGGTGAGATGTAAACTCCCTCACCTGGTATGCAGGTGGTCGTGGGTTGGATCCAGACCCTGAAAGCCTGCTGTATATTTGGAATTTGCAGGTTCTCCCCGCTCAATGTTGCGATAGCTCAATGAAGTGGCTCATCACGTGGAAGTTTATAGCAGTCAAATACTCAAAATGCGTGACGTTGATTCTAATGTGGAGGGGAAAACCGGAGGACCCAGAGAAAAATCCATGCAATCACGGGTAGAGATACACACAAACTCCAAATATAGAGCAGGCGTCAGGGTCAGGAATGAACCCACGACCTCCTACATACCAGGCGAGGTCGTTAACATTTCGCCATTGTGGCTCCCTATTAAAACAAATTGGAACGTTGTCTCCTCTAATCTTTTGTTCCTGTTAGAGCCACAGTGTTATTGACCAATATGTTGATTAGTTAGGTATTTGTGCTTGTGCTCCAATAAATATCCTAGCAGAGATGATGATGGTGGTTTTAATTTCCACTAACTGGCAGTCTCATCTCAGCAGCTGCCAATGTTGTTTGCAGTCCTTCACTGGGGGCCGAGGACAAACTCCAAGTCCGTGTTTGTGCGAGAGTCACAGGGCGGTAACTGTGGCGCCTCACAGCAAGAAGGGCCTGGTTTTGATTCCTGACTTGGGTGCCTTTCTGCGTGGAGTTTGTGCATTCTCTCTCCCCCTGTTCTGCACGGGTTTTCTCTGGGTTCTCCAGTTTTCTCCCATAGATAAAAAAAGCATGCAAGGAGCTGTGTGTGTGAAGGCACCCCAATGGGTTCTGCCTTATCTCCGGTTGTAGCCAACATTTTCATGGAAAATTTGAGACGGACGCCATTCAGGCATCCACTCTACGCCCGTCCTTGTGGAAGAGGTACATGGATGACACGTTTGTCATCTGGCCACATGGCCGACCGGCTCTAAACCAACTACTCAACCACATCAATTCCATACACCCAGCAATCAAATTCACCATTGAGGTAGAAAAGGATGGCAAGCTACTTTTCTTGGATACCTTAATCAAAAAGAGACCAGATGGCTCATTGAGCCACACTGTCTATAGGAAAATAACCCATACTGACGCCTACCTGAAACCTGATTCCCACCACCATCCATCCGAGAAGAATTCACTCATCAAAACTCTACACCACAGAGCTCAATGTATCTCCGTCCATGAACACCTAACCAGTGAACTCAAACACGTACCAACACCCTGCCATACATAACCAAAACTATTTCCAAAATCATGAACAAACACGAGATCCAGGTCCGATTTAACACAGTACATAACATTCGTGATTGGATCCCATCTGTGAAGGACAAGATTCCTGACATGCAATATCCCCGCGTCTACAAACTAAGCTGTATCTGCAGCAGCAGTTACATTGGGGAAACTAAGCGACACGTCTCTGACCGTGTTCGTGAGTACAAGGCAGATCTCATTAACACGGTAGGACCAATACTTCTGCCGTGGCTGATCATTATTTTAATGCGGCTGGCTCACGCGAAATTAATTTTTATAAGACGATGGTACTTTACAAGACGACTGGCTATCAACAAAGATTCGTTCACGAAGCCATCCATATATACAGACACAGACACAATTTCAACTGAGAGGAAGGTTATAGACTCAGTAATCAGTGGAAAGATGTCATAAACCACTTCGGGTCATGACTTGACTTGTGCTTTCTTGTCAATCAACCTCCACCGTCAGCAGTGTGGTGTGTGGAGCGGAGTGCAGGGATTTCCTGGCGGCCCTTTGCTGCATTGGCGTTGCTGCTGCATTGGCATTGTTACTGCATTGGCATTGTTGCTGCATTGGCGTTGTTTCTGCATTGGCATTGCTGCTGCATTGGCATTGTTGCTGCATTGGCATTGCTGCTGCATTGGCATTGGTGCTGCATTGGCATTGTTACTGCATTGGCATTGCTGCTACATTGGCATTGGTGCTGCATTGGCATTGCTGCTGCATTGGCATTGCTGCTGCATTGGCATTGCTGCTGCATTGGCATTGCTGCTGCATTGGCATTGCTATTGCTGCCCCGCCCATGCTGCTGGTGCTGATGACACACTTGGGCTATGCCCATCTCCAAACCTTTATAAACAGTTTGCCTTTAGAGGATAACCCCTTTTCCTGATGACGACCGCTTGTGTTGCGATCTAAGCGTCATGATATTTTTATTAACTTAATCTTTATTATTATTTTCTCTATCTACGTGACTTTACTGAAAGACCCAAAGAAGAATAATACTTCATCATTAGACCTCCTTTGCCAGTACCAAAATGTAATAATAGGGTTTTTTCCCTTTTTTCTGGCAACAAAACTGAAACCTTTTTTTACAAGGATTCATGTCTGCATTAACCACAATACCTGCAGTCAAAATGCAAAAAAAACATACAATGATAATATATGCATTGTCCTTGAAACTGATTGGTCCACACCAAGGGGCGGCTTTGAAAGCGGCTTTGAAAGCCGTCCCTTGGTGTGGACCAATCAGTTTCAAGGACAATACATATATTATCATTGTATGTTTTTTTGCATTTTGACTGCAGGTATTGTGGCTAATGCAGACATGAATTCTTGTAAAAAGGTTTCAGTTTTGTTGCCAGAAAAAAGGGGAAAACCCCGATTATTACAAGAATAATACTTGTTCTTACCCTTTACTGCAGCCTTGCACCCGTTTGGTTCTCAATGCAAAAAAAAATACGTTAATAAATACATTTACTTGATGAAACAAAATAGTTGTATTATGTGCCCGTGCTTAATTAGCGTTTCGATGATTTACCTTCTAAAAAAAATCTCGCACTCGGAGGGGGTGCAGGGTGCACTCCAGGTAAAGAATCACTGAGCAAATAGTAACGGCCTACTCAATGGTGCCACGGTGGCGAGATGTTAACTACCTCGCCTGGTATGAAGGAGGTCATGAGTTCGATCCCGATCCCGACCCTGACGCCTGCTGTATATAGGAGTTTGTGTCTCTCTCTCCCTGTGGTCACATGGATTTTTCTCCGGGTTCTCCGATTTTTCCCTCCACATTTAGAATCAACATCACCCGTTTAGAGTATTTGGCTGCTATACTTTTCCACGTTATAAGCCACTTCGTTGCGCTATAATTTTGTGGCCTAGTCGCTTCTGAAAAAGAGTGCTATAGCTACGTGGGCCTTACCTGGTAAAATAACAATAGTTTAGTTTTAATACCTTAAGCAATTAGCCAGTTAGCGTCCAGTACTAGCCATTCCAATACCCAAACCATTAGTACTAGCCCCGTCCATACCCTAAACAATTATCCAGTCTGCCACTTATACCGGCCCTAACCCGAATGCCTTGGTCCTTCACCCAGCACCACTCTCAACTGTGTACGGGCAGTCCCCAACTTACGAACTGGTTCCCTTCCTGAGACCCGTTCGTAACTCAAAACACGATAACGTACCGTATTTAAATGCACGTACGGTCAGTGTTATACAATCTTTCAAGGTTCCGATAAAAAGCGAAGCATTGTTAAGCTCAAATATGAGACGAAATATCGTACATTTACGTTCAGCAAGTTGGATTGTTAAAAAATATATATCTTGTGATAGCTCTTTTGTAAGTGCGGATGTTCATAAGTCGGGCGTTTGTAAGTCGGGGACTGTCTGTATTAACTTGAAACTAAAACTGTAAACTATTTTTTATTTTACCAGATAAGACCCACTGAGCTATGTAGCTCTTTTTCAGAAGCCACAAATGATAGGTAAACGAAGTGGCTTATCCTCACGTGGAAATTTATCGCAGCCAAATACTCTAAATGCACGCTAATTCTAAACGTGCAGGCAAAAACCGAAGGACCTGGAGAAAAATCAACGCGACCACGGCGAGAGATAGAGACACGCAAACTCAGAATATGCAGCAGGCATCGTCAGGATCGGGATCGAACCCACGACCTCCTGCATACCAGGCGAGGTAGTCAACATCTCGCAGACTGTGTGGGGCAGTGCTACTGACGCGTGGTTCCGTACGCCCATCCTCCGCCATGCAGGTAGATGACGCCGCGCTTGAGCCCCGCGGCGTGCGAGGACACGAACACCCGCACGCGTACGCCGCCCAGCTCGGTGTCGTGCACCGTCACCCACGCGTCGGAGCGAGCGGGCACGCGGGGCACCACGTTGCGCAGGACCACCTCCGGGTCGACCAGTCCCAGAAGCTCGCCCAGAGTGGCCTGGCACACGGTGGGGAGCAGGGGGGGGACGCACACGAGGGGCGTGAGTTGCGTCGAGAGATGTCTGTGGGGACACTGAGGCAGGGGCCACGCTGGGACTGTGAGGGGAAGGCGAGGGCATCACGACGACTTGGAAATCACCGGCCCACACACCCAGAGATATGTGGGGATGATGACCAATGGAACGTAGATGCATCAAACGCAACTATCGCTAAACTTTTAATTTACCAGGTAAGGTCCCCTGAGCTACGCAGCTCTTTTTCAGAAGTGACCTGGTGACAAATGATAGCTCAACCAAGTGGCTTTTCATAATATGGAAATATATAGCAGCCAAATACTCTAAACGCATGTTTCTAAATGTGGAGGGACAAACCAGAGAACCCGGAGAAAAATCCACCTGACCACGGGGAGGACATGCAAACTCCAAATATACAGGCATCAGGATCGGGATCGAATCCCCCCAACCTGCTGTATACCAGGCGAGGTAGTAAACATCTCGCCACCGTGGGCATGAGGGAAAGAGGTATATGGCAGTCGGTTGACCGTACTACCCTGGTGAGTGTGGAGGTTTTTGTGATTTGTTTACTTTTCCTACACTTTGCACTCCTATCGTGTGTTTTGCATTGTTGTGGTGTTGTAACTTTCTCACCTGCCCCTACTGGACATCTGTGAAAAAGAGCTTTATAGCTCCTCGGGTTCCCCTAGTTTAAATAAAGATTCTGATTCTGGGTTAATGGGGGATGGGGAACACAGCTCCGGACTGATGTCACTCCCACCCACCAGCAAAGTTGTCCGTGGCTCTTTGTATTGAACTGAGGTAGCTGGGTTCATAGTGCAGTGCGCTAACCGCTGCGCCACCACTCCACGGGGTTCATAGTGCAGTGCGCTAACCGCTGCACCACCACTCCACGGAGTTCATAGTGCAGTGCGCTAACCGCTGCACCACCACTCCACGGGGTTCATAGTGCAGTGCGCTAACCGCTGCGCAACCACTCCACGGGGTTCATAGTGCAGTGCGCTAACCGCTGCGCAACCACTCCACGGGGTTCATAGTGCAGTGCGCTAACCGCTGCACCACCACTCCACGGGGTTCATAGTGCAGTGCGCTAACCGCTGCGCGACCACTCCACGGGGTTCATAGTGCAGTGCGCTAACCGCTGCGCGACCACTCCACGGGGTTCATAGTGCAGTGCGTTAACCGCTGTGCTACCACTCCACGGGGTTCATAGTGCAGTGCGCTAACCGCTGCGCGACCACTCCACGGGGTTCATAGTGCAGTGCGCTAACCGCTGCGCGACCACTCCACGGGGTTCATAGTGCAGTGCGCTAACCGCTGCGCCACCACTCCACGGGGTTCATAGTGCAGTGCGCTAACCGCTGCACCACCACTCCACGGGGTTTATAGTGCAGTACGCTCACCGCTGCAGTATTGCTCCACCCCTCTGACGATAACCCTACCCCTGAATTCACCTCCAGCCAGCACTTCGTCAAAGCCAATTTCTGTTTAACTTCAGTTTTGGGGCCCCAGCATCGGTATCCACGAACAAATGAACACTGTAGCATGGCGCTCAGCACGGGTAAATGTTTAAGCAGTGACCGCAATAGAGCTGGCATTGAAAGGTCGCTGCTGTCACGGGCACGACCCCACGTGCACCCACGCTCACCCCGCAGGGCTTACACACTAACCCTGGCACACTAACCCTGACACCCTGACACTCTAACCCTGACACCCTGACCTTTGTGAATTCAACACTCACTTGCAATACTCATCTAGTACACTCACGAACAACACTCACCTACAATCCACACTCACATACAACACTCACCTACAGCCCTCAATTAATCCCTACACTCACCTACAATCCACACTCACGAACAACACTCACCTACAATCCACACTCACATACAACACTCACCTACAGCCCTCAATTAATCCCTACACTCACCTACAACACTGACTCATCCGCAACACTCACCTGCAATACTCACCGACAGCACTCAGCTATAACACTCACCTACAGTCCATACTCGCCTACAACCCACAATCACCCGACAACAAGTATGCTTTGCCTTCTTTACGACTGTAGCAGCCCCTAGAGCAGGGGTCGGCAACCTATGGCTCGCGAGACAGATGTGGCTCTTTTGATGACTGCGTCTGGCTCGCAAATAAATCTTAGCTGACATTTCTTAACATGATAAGTAATGAGTAATTCCGCTGACATTAAAGTAAAACATTACAGAAATCAGAGTGTTAAAAATAACGTTTAAAATATAAAACATTCTCACGCATTTTAATCCATCCATCCATTTTTCTACCGCTCCTACTCAGGGTTGCAGGTGGCTGGAGCCAATCCCAGCTGTCCGACACCAAAACTCTATTTTTATTGGATAATGCGGTAGCCTACGGGTCGTTGTGAGGTCAAGAAGTAAACTTCCGTCCTTTTAATCAAATAGTCAGCTAGCTAATTTATGCAGAGCAAACCCTTTTGATGAAGAAGATGGCGAAGAGAAAAAAAGATGAGGAGTACCGCACATTTCAGCACGAATGGACAGAAGAATTCGCCTTTGTGGAGAGAGCAGGTTCTGGGGTGTGTCTAATATGCAATGATAAAATTTCATCGATGAAACGGTCAAACATAAAGCGGCACTTCGACACACGCCATGCTACATTTGCATCGAAATATCCAGCGGGGGACAGCAGAAAGAAGGCATGCCAAGCGCTACTGTCCAGAGTGCAAGCTAGTCAGCAGCAACTCCGTGTATGGACCAGACAAGGTGACGGGAATTCGGCTAGCTTTGCTGGTTCTTTAGCAATTGTGAGGAACGGAAAGCCATTCACAGATGGCGAGTATGCCAAAGCATTCATGCTTGATGTGGCCAACTAACTTTTTGACGACTTTTCGGATAAAGACAAGATACTCAAACGAATAAAAGACATGCCTCTGTCAGCAAAAACTGTTCACGATCGTACCATAATGATGGCAAATCAAGTGGAGGAAACACAAGTGAAGGACATAAATGCAGCGCCATACTTTTCCCTTGCTTTGGATGAGTCAACAGACGTAAGTCATTTATCCCAATTCAGTGTGATTGCAAGGTATGCTGCCGGTGACACACTGCGTGAGGAAAGTCTTGCTGTTTTGCCAATGAAAGGGTCAACAAGAGGGGAGGATTTATTCAAGTCTTTCATTGAGTTCGCTAAAAAAAATCTACCGATGGATAATCTTATTTCGGTGTGTACTGATGGTGCTCCGTGTATGGTGGGGGAAAACAGAGGATTTGTAGCGCTTCTTCGTCAACATGAAAAAAGACCAATCCTAAGTCTTCACTGCTATCTACATCAGGAGGCGCTTTGTGCTCAAACGTGTGGCGAGCAGCTTGGTGAGGTGATGTCACTGGTCATTCGGGTGGTCAACTTTATTGTTGCCCGAGCAAATGATCGCCAGTTTAAAACACCGCTGGATGAAGTTGGGAATCATTATCCCGGTCTGCTTTTGCACAGCAAAGTGCGTTGGTTGTCAAGAGGGAAGGTGCTCAGCCGTTTTGCGGCTTGCCTGAGCGAAATCCGGACTTTTCTTGAAATGAAAGATGTCGAGCATCCTGAGCTAGCTAACACTGAGTGGCTCCTGAAGTTGTACTATCTTGTGGACGTCACTGGACATCTGAACCAGCTCAATGTGAAAATGCAAGGCATTGGAAATACAGTCTTATCCCTTCAACAAGCAGTGTTTGCATTTGAAAACAAGCTGGAACTCTTCATCGTGGATATTGAAACAGGTCGTTTACTGCACTTTGAAAAACTGAGAGAATTTAAGGATGCGTGCACAGTAAGTGACCCCGTTCAACATTTTGATCTCCAGCAGCTAGCTGGCTTCACATCTGATCTCCAGCAGTCATTCAAAGCACGCTTTGGAGAATTTCGTGAGCACACTCGTCTTTTCAAGTTCATCACTCATCCACACGAGTGTGCAGTGGACAAAGCCGACCTGAGTTACCTCCCTGGTGTCTCCATCAGAGATTTTGAGCTGGAAGTTGCTGACCTGAAGGCCTCAGACATGTGGGTGAATAAGTTCAAGTCACTGAATGAAGATTTGGAAAGACTTGAACGACAGCAAGCAGAGCTGGCGAGCAAACACGAGTGGACAGAAATGAAAAACATTCAACCCGCAGACCAGCTGATTGTCAAAACATGGAACGCGCTTCCTGTCACATACCACACACTGCAGCGTGTGAGTATTGTTGTATTGACCATGTTTGGTTCTACGTATTCACGTGAGCAGTCGTTCTCACATCGAAAAAACATCAAGACCAACCTACGATCCCGTTTAACGGATGAAAGCCTCAACGCCTGCATGAAGCTTAACCTCACCACGTATCAACCAGACTACAAAGCCATCAGCAAAACCATGCAGCACCAGAAGTCGCATTAATGGTAAGAAATATTTTATTTATTATTGGTTGTTGGTATAACAACGTTATTAAAAAAGATACATTCAGAGACTTATTTTATTCTAAAATTGGTGGTCTTAGTTAAAAATACATGCATTTAGTTGTATTCAGTGTTAAAAAATATTATATGGCTCTCACGGAAATGTATTTTAAAATGTGGCTTTCATGGCTCTCTCAGCCAAAAAGGTTACCGAACCCTGCCCTAGAGTCTCTGTGTTAATCCGGCCCTAGCTGTAAACTTTACAGAGAGAGCGGTAATCCGAATTGCCACCCAAGAGAGTGGACACGGAGCTGGACAGGCAGCTTCCAAGCACGTGTGACAGTCAAAGGTCAAACAGGGTTGCTACACTCGCCTGTGACGCATACTCAACTATCACCCACACTCACTTGTAACACTCACCTACCAACCAAACTCACCTACATGACTCACCTGAAACCCACACTCACCTAGAGCACTCACCTACAACTCACACTCTCCTACAACAGTGGGCGTCATATGTATACAAGCGCCCTCCACCATAGGAATGTGAAATTTCCATCACTCCCTGTAAACGGTAGATGAGCACCAATTCCTGAACCAGGAAATCACTTCGACTTTGAAGACGTTCACGCGCGCACACGACTTAATAGGAGCTATACCGTCACTCAGGTCTCATCACCCAGGTCTCATCACCCAGGTCTCATCACCCTGGGTCTCAGCACCCAGGTCTCATCACCCAGGTTTCATCACCCTGGGTCTCAGTACCCAGGTCTCATCACCCAGGTTTCATCACCCTGGGTCTCAGCACCCAGGTCTCATCACCCAGTTCTCAGCACTCTGGGTCTCAGCGCCCTGGGTCTCAGCACCCGGGGTCTCCGCTTCCTCACCACGTGATTGGCGGTGCGCAAGACGGCGTCCAGCATCATCAGCTTGTACGGCTCGGCCACGGAGTCGGGGAGAGGCCGATACAGGTAGTGGCTGGCACCCAGAAGCAAGAGCGCGGAGAGCAGCGCGCACACGCGGACGGCTCCCATCCTCCAGGCGGGACCTCCTCTCCTCCCCACAGCCCCCGCGCGACCACAGACAACGGAGCTGCTGCTGCTGATGATGATGGATCGAGTCAGGTGGCGGTCGGGTGAGTGTGGAGCAGAGATGGGAGAGTGCAACGGAGAGGGGAGTGGAGTAGAGATGAGAGTGGAGTAGAGATAGGAGATAGGAGTGGTGGGAAACAGAGGACGAGGGGAGTAGAGAGTAAGAGAAGAGGAGTTCAAAAGGAGAAGAGTGGATAAGATGGGAGCAGAGGAGAGCGGAGCCCGGGGAGAGGACGAGATTAGGGTAGAGGGAATCCAAAGCTCCGCGCACCCGGCGAAATGCGAACGAATGAAGATGAGTCCGGCGAGACCGGGAGTGTAACAGAGAGCGCGCAGTGAGAGAGAGAGAGAGCGAGGGGAGATTGTGGGAGTGGGTGGCGGGGAGGGAGGGACTAGGAGAGGGAAGGAGCGGGGCTGGAGAGGGCTCAGGAGGAACCAGGAGGCGCCTCCTCCTCAGCACGCTCTGTACCATTAGCTCTGCGCTGTGACGAGTGGCTGGTTGGTTAGGGTGAGGGACAGTTGGAGGGCTGTTAGTACCAACTCGCGTGCCAGGGTTAGTGGGTAAGGATTAGGGTGTCAGGGTAGTGTGTCAGGGTGAGGGTGTCAGGGTTAGGGTGTCCGGGTTAGTGAGTAAGGGTTAGGGTGTCAGGGTTAGTGTGTCAGGGTTCGTCTACAATGGATCAATGTCAGGGTTATGTAATGTACTGAAAATCGTCCAAGTCCGGCAGCGCTGCCGGTTACAGTTTAAGATTGACCTCTGGTCATTAATCATCACGATCACCATCACTGTCCTCATTAAGCTGAACCCTCAGCGCTCATATGCACAGTGAATCAAACGCGAGAGTCCGCCCTACCACCGGCCTCGCGTCTTCACGGATTTCTTGGAAGAAGAAATAAACCGCCCTCTATGGCGGACGCATCATGCATTGTTTACGAGAAGACTCTGGCGACCACCCCCATCCATCCATCCGTAGCTAAGCCGTGGTGGCTCCTCTTTAAACCGGCTGCGCGTTGGACATTGCCCCAGATGCAGAGATGGGGGGGGGCGTCGGGGATGAGGCACTGCGCCAGTATCAGTTGGACTGATAGAGCGACGGCTGACTTGACCAGTGCTCCCGATTCAGAATCAGAATCTTTATGTATATTGGTGGAATCCGATGAGCTATGAAGCTCTTTATCACCGATGTTCAGGAGACAAGACACACTTAGACAAAGATTTTCCTCTCGCCTTTTGCAGACCGTTGGGGCAAATGCTGTTAGCGAGCATATATGAAGAAGCCGGCACGGCGCACCAGGGGGTGGGTGGCCAGCACCACGCCGGCCGCCTTTGTCTCCCCAGTGGCGACGTTTACACACCGCACCATGTACTCACTTGCGGCTGAGTCAACCTCGGGGTGGCCCAGAACAGGTTCAGATAATCGTCACTGTTGTTGGCCGTGAGCGGGAATTGAACTCGGCCGGCCGGGTTGGTAGCGCTAACCGCTCCACGACCGCTACCACGGACAGGCAGACGCATTGAACAGATACACGCGTTGCATAACATCATCACCCACGAACGTTGTGTAACATCCACATAACGCACAGGCGATGACGCGTCCAACACGCAACTTATTGCAACAGACAACCCACAAGCATTGACAAAAGCTAAATACAAAGATCCCCCATATATCCGCGGGGAAAGTGTTGTTGACTAGCACCTATTAAGAAGCCGGCACGGGAACACGAGGGGGTGGGTGGCCAACACAACGCCCGGCCGCCTTTGTCTCCCCAGTGCCGATGTTTAATACAAACTACACCAGGCTCTCATTTTAGTCCGAGTCGACCTAGGGAAGGCCCAGGACCGGTTAAAAAATAATCATCACTTCGTATTGGTCGTGAACGTGAATCAAACTCGGGTCGCCAGGGTCGTAGCGCAATGCGCTATAAACCACTGCACTTCTGTAGTCTGTATGCAAACCTATGCGTTTCTGTGTAAACATATGGATAGCTATGTACGTCCGTTGGTATTTATGTTATCTCTGATTAACGCGGTTGGCTACGTACGGTGCGAAAGAAGTCCGACACACATACACGTCACCACGGTGAGTGGTGTCCACAACTCACTACAAATTCCTCACCCCCGCCGGACGTGCCTGTGAGGGTGGTGTGAGGTGAATCAACAAGCGGTGTTTGTTTGGGATGCGCCACCCGTCGCGACGTCTGGTGACCCCCAGGTCTACTCAGCAGGGGATGTATGATACCCACTGCGGATTCAGCATCATCAGAAAAGGTCCTCTCCCTTCCCATTGTCTTTCTTTGTTTGCTCTGTATTTGTTTATTGGTCTCATGCTAGGGGCGCCGCGCTGGAGAGATGTTAACGACCTTGCCAGCTGTAGGTCGTGGGTTCGAATCCGACTCTGATGCCTGCTGTAAATTTGCACTTTGCGTCTCCACCCGTGGTCGTGTGGTTTTTTTGGTCCGGGTTTTTCCCTCCACATTTAAAGAACATGCGTTTAGAGTATTGGGATGCTGTAAATGTCCACGTGGTAAGTCACTTCGTTGAGCTATCATTTGTGGCCAGGTCGCTTCTGTAAAAGAGCCACGTAGCTCAGCGGTCCTTACCTGGTAGAATAAAAATGTTTTTACCTTCCATGCGTTGCAGATGATAGAGTAACAATGATGAGATGACTAACAGCACTCTGGGAGTAGCAGCAAAGCACGCGAACGAGACGGAGAGTAAACTCGTGAAATAAATGTTCAACTTTCCTGGAACGTGATCTCGTGATTATTATCGTAGAATTCACCAAGCTGCTTCTTCCGCCAAAACGCATCCGACGCGACCCCCCAGGGTCCTCAACCGGGGGACCGCGGACCTCTGGGAGCACCCACGTGTCAATGTCCCAGGGGGCACGTGAGGTGATTTATTAATGTGTGGCATTATATCACACGTGAGAGTCATTGGGAAATAATTATGTTTGATGAGTCTGCCTATGTAAAATAACTACGATGACATTTAAACCCATAACTACTATGATATAAAAGACCTTTATAAACTCATTGATCGTAAACAATGCGCATGACAAGATTAACGAGCGAGCGCGAGCTAATTACGTCACAAACATCGAGCGTCCGTTGAATTTTTGTTTATTCGCTTGCAGTTACTGGCCAGTTAGGATATCTCATAACAGGGACAATTATTTAAAATATCGATGTTCATTCTTCGTACATGCATTTCTCAGAACCACGTTGGGTCAGGCAGGGGGGTTACTACTCGGTTGAAACAAAATTCAACAAAGGGGTAACACAGTCGCCAAACCAAAAGGTTGAGCACCACTCCTCTCCCACGTAAACAAGAGCCCAACGCGCACTCAACAGAACGCGCCCATCGACACGCCGCGGAGCAGTGGTGGCTCACTGCCCCCACGTCTCTGCTGGGGCTTCCCGGCCTCTGGTCACAGAACTATTCCCGAGGTCCCTCCAGCCGGGCCGAGGCTGCGCGCTCCTCCTCGTCGTGGGCCCTGCTGGAACTCCGCTGCTACACGAAGCTGGCGTCGTCGGCGGTGCGGGGGATTCGCTCGCGGTGGCCCCCTTCTCCCTCCTGGCTCCAGGCCCTCCTCGTCCCTCTTTGTCTTCCCAATGCAATGATGCCTCGTTACTTTTCAGTCACCCAACTTTCTGTCGCCCCCCCAGCTACAACCAGGCCTATCCCAATCCTTCCTTACCAATCCCTGTTTTACTGCATCACAACTACACCACTTACAATAACCCAATTATTTATTTCGAATTATTGTCATACTATGTACGATAGTATAATTGCTGTAAAGCGCCTTTGTAAAGGCGCTATATAAATCTCATTAAGATAAGATTGCATATTCCTACGGCGGGAACAATCTCAAAAGGCCCGCCACAAGTACAACTTCCCACAAGCTGTTCACGGGAAGCTGTATGGTCAACCCACTGGCGGATAAGAGCCTGCTCATGCCGTGCGGGTCATAGGGGTTAACTTGACCATACTTAAATTTCGATTTAAAGCTTTCGTGACTGCAATGATTCATCTTCTTTGGTTCTTTCGGTAAAGTCACGTAGAATGAGAATAAAATAATAAATTGATAAAATAAAATAACAATAATATTCTCACGACGTTTCGGCCACAACACAAGCGGCCTTCATCAGGTGAAGGGAGCGAGACTGTCTGGTAGGACAGCGCTGTCCTACCAGACAGTCTCGCTCCCTTCACCTGATGAAGGCCGCTTGTGTTGTGGCCGAAACGTCGTGAGAATATTATTGTGTTATTTTATTTTATCAATTTATTATTTTATTCTCATTCTACGTGACTTTACCGAAAGAACCAAAGAAGTTGACCATACTTCCCCATTCTGGGCAGTGAAGGGTGGTGATAGCGGGGTTTTCCGCACCTCCGATTAGCACGGCTAGCTAGATACGGTGCACAGGAGGTTCACGGAGAGTGACATTTTTTTACGTCATTCAAACATTTTTTGTTATTTAGTGACCACACTTGTTGACAATCACGAAATTGGTCTAAGAAGATGAAACCTCATAAGACGACATTGTTTTGTATCTTCGAGGTGACAAGCCAGTGTCCTGTTCCTGGTAATGTACATCGTAGTTAAGTAGATGCAGGCTCTATCTCGCCTTAACAACAACCGGACAACTATATTCTTGGTTCTTTCGGTAAAGTCACGTTGAAGGGAAACAATAAAATAATAAAATATATATAAAATAATAAAATTCTCACGACGTTTCGACTGCAACACAAGCAGTCATCATCAGCCGTTGGTTTTCACACCTGATGATGACTGCTTGTGTTGCAGTCGAAACGTCGTGAGAATTTTATTGTTTTATATATTTTATTGTTTCCCTTCAACGTGACTTTACCGAAAGAACCAAGAATATGAATCACTGCAGTCACGAAAGCTTTAAATCAAAACCGGACAACTGTTCCACTGGTCAGATAAAATACAAGTATTTGCTTGGATAATCAATTTCATCATTTTAATAACACAATAATCGTTTATAATAAAATGTATTATAGTACATTTCTCATTTGATGTTTTTTTTTATACCACATTGTGGTTTAGTATAACGTATACAGTATCGTTGTATAGTTGGGTTGAGCTGGTTTTGGGTTGAGCTGGTCTTGGATTGAGCTGGTCTTGGGTTGAGCTGGTTTTAGGTTGAGCTGGTCTTGGATTGAGTTGGATTTTACTGGTAGGAAACGTAGTGGACTGGAAGCCCAACCGGGATTAATTCACAGGAGGCAGGGGATATTAATTGTGTATGTCTGTGGATGTCTGTCCACGTGTATCCGGACACCCGGATATATAACAAATGCGCTCCTAGTGGGCATTACTGGTAGGAAACGTAGTGGACTGGAAGCCCAACCGGGATTAATTCTCAAAGGAGGCAGGGGATTAATTGTGTATGTCTGTGGATGTCTGTCCACGTGTATCCGGATATAAAAAATGGGAGGGGTGGGGCTGTGTGGAGAGGGGAGGGTAGGGAGGGGCTGGGTGGGGA